CAGACATGGCCACAGGCCAGTCCAATGAAGGCAATTCCCCAATTGAGGCTCCCTCAACCCAGGTGAGTCAAGCTGACACTAAAGCTCTCCAGCACTCTCAGCTACCTTTTTTTTTTTTCTGTCTTTTTGAAACAGGGTCTCCCTGTAGCCCCAGCTGTCCTGGAACTCACTATGTAGAACAGGCTGGCCTTGAACTCACAGAGATCCGCCTGCCTCTGCCTCCCGAGTGCTGGGATTAAAGGCTTGCACCACCACGCCCAGCTTATATATACCTTTTATTTTATTTTCTTGCCTTATTGTACTAGCTAAAACTTCCGATACTTCATTGAGTTAGAATGGTGGAATAAATATCCTTTCCTTGTTCTAGATATTGGAAAGAAAATACTTAGTTTTTACCATTAAAAATAATGGCAATTAGGCAGGTGTGGTGGCGCGCACCTTTAATCCCAGCACTTTGGAGGCAGAGGCAGGTGAATCTCTTGAATCCTGAGATTTATTCTATGTCATCATTCAGTTCAAAAGATGGTGATTGGAAAATAATGTTTCTGTATTAAACAGTCCAGTTGAAAAATAGTGTACTTTCCCTTCCCAGTTCCCACATGCATCAGATATAAGGAACTTCTGAAGTTTTTTTCCTGAAACCAAGACAAGACTAGTGGAACAGTCTACTAACCATCTTCATATAGACTGACTCAGATGAGTTCTGTGCCTGTGTCCTTATTCCACGTTCACTTGGGGATTCAAATCTTAATTTTAAAGGCCTGGGGTTTTACGCCATCAGGTCTCATGTCTGGAGCAGTGATGTTTTATGAAAATAGTCTGTTACTGTAAAGTAAGCTGGCCATAATGAACATGAGCCTGACACTTTTTCACAGCAAAAATGCAAGCACATTCTTTGAAAAATGACAGTATTAAACTGCAAGTGATGGTAGTAAAGCAAATATTTAAATTCACAGCTAAAATAAGTTCTAGTAAAATTAATTGCCATGCCAAGTATGCCAGTTCACCATTCCTTAAGCTGATTCTCTGTTGGAAGAAGCATTCCGGGTGGAGTGGGGGGACTTCAAACAAACTGACTCCTTTAAAACTATGTAAGTAGGCTAAATTTGTCTGGATCTTTAAGATGTTAATAGACTCCCCTGTATAGGTATAGTCCTTGAAGCATAGCCTTAGAAGTAGTTTCTTCTAAACTGCAGTTTCGCTGATGCAATGCTTCATTTATCCCTAGGCAAGTCCCAGTGATGGAAATGATGGCGTTTTGGGAGAAAAGAAGGATGACAGCCAGGCAGGTGAGACTGTGTCCTTCTGCAAGCAAAGAAAAGTAAGGCCCCAGTTTGTAGTTATTATGGAGTTTATACATAATTCAAAATACTGTCTTTTAAGGAGACTTCCAAGTAAGTTGACCTGTATTAAGCTGTTATGAAGTCATACACCTCTGGCTTCCTCCACTTGGCATTGAAATGCAGAAGTTAAACCAGTGATGCCTTAAGATAGGGGAGAATCTGTGTGATAAAAAGAAACTGTGATTTCATCAATGTTGGGAGTTTTAGGGATGGTTAGAAGTTTGGGAGGTTTTGTATTCTCAATTCAGATGAAATCGGCTTTGCTAGTTGGAAGAGCCAATTACAAAGAGCCACAGTTATATACGGAAAAGGCAACAGTTCTGCTTCTTCTTTCTATAGAGCAATTCTGCCTTCTAGAAAGGGGTGTGTATTTGACAGATAACTGCACTGACTACAATGTAAAGCTCTTTCTAAAGCAAAGCTGCTGCCCTTCCCACAATATCTAGCTCCTAGGTGATTGTTAGAGGAGCACTTTAAGTTATTGAGCCTGTTTTCCTTGTATTTAAACAAAACAAGAATCAGTCGCTCTTATATTTCTATTTGTAAATACTAATGTCTTCACTGATGTTTGAAGCCCAGGATGGCTCCGACTCAGACAAATCATCCTGGCCAGTTTCGTCTGCTCTCACAGCTCGTCTCCGGCGTCTGGTCACTGTTTATCAGCGCTGCAACCGCAAGGAGCTCTGCCGACCTGAGCTCCTAGGACCAGGCAACCAAGGGTACTGGGTTCAGGAAGAGATGTTCAGAAGAACCTCAGAAATGGACCTCATCAACAAGGAAGCCCAAAAGAGGTAAAGGCTGACAGCCAGAGGGCATGTAAAAGTAACTGTTCACTGGATAAAGATAACAGGAGGGAAAGCTGATAGCTGGAAGTGTGTGTGTTCTCACATGACAGATTTTCTTCAGAATTCATTAGACAAAACCTCCAATGGGGATGATGTTGTCATGGTGACTGGGGAGTCTAATAAATTTGGGATACCCTCCATTCATAATGCCTAAGTGTTTTATGACTTTCCAATTTGACATTCTCCCCTACGTCTGACTCTAAGAATGTGGTTTAAAAAACACATTGGCATATATCAAACCATTTCAAACCCCCTGATTTTTCTAACAACAAAAGGAATAGCACATCTTGAAGCTGTCTTACTCTAATCTCGTCTTTGTCAAGCCTTTGAGAGCAGTAAATACCATATGAAACACAAGCTCAGAAGGAGAGTATAAATTCCCACTAGTTACTTGGCTCATGAGAGTTAAGTTTTCTAAAAAGGCTGCTGTGGGCCGGCACCAGCCAGAAATGAACACAGCAAAGCTGCAATTCTGACTCTTTATATCTTCTTTCTTCTGATAATCCTACAAATTAAAGGAATACCACATAGCAAATCCAGTTACTTCTCTGTACTCTTACATTATGAAATTTAGTAATCCAGGCAAAATTTTCCTCCATGTGGCACAGCTGCAGAACTCCTTCCTGTTTCTCCCTCTTCTGTTGATCCCTCATCCCATTCCCAAGCTGGGGTAGAGAGTTCCTCCCTCACCGAGACCATGGTGACTTGTATTTACCCGGTTCTCGAAGTCACTGTCTTAATCATGTTGAGGACTTTTGTGTCCCAGCAGAGGTAATTGACATGGGCAACTCACTCATGTAAAACAGAAAGAAAGCTAAAGGGAAATTGGGAGTCACAGTACTTGCCTTCTCAGCTCTAGTCTCCTTAGTAAAAGATAAAGAAGTTGAATTTAATATGTCTGAAAGGTACCTCCAAGATTCTGTGTTATCGTGAGGTAGGAAATAGGAGGCAAAATGTAAAATAGGGGCTGGAGAGATAGCTCAGTGGTTAAGAGCACTGACTGCTCTTACAAAGGACCAGGGTTCCCAGTACCTACATGACAACCAACAACCATCCTTAACTCCAGTTCCAAGGGATCTGATGGGATTTTCTGGCCCCTGTAGGCATTACATGACATAGGTACACTTATATACATGCAAGGAAAACACTCATACACATAAAATAAAAATAAATAAAGAAAAGTAATATATTATTTTTAATATTTTAATCTTTATTTCCTATAAGTGAAAGTTAGCTAAATAATTCCTAAAATTGACTCAAGATAGCAAGGTATAGACATGATTTTGGACTAGGGAGATCAGTACCAAAGAAAGAGCTGAACATTTGAAAGTAGTCCTCTCCTTAGTAATACAGTGATAACATGGTTTTGTTAAAAACCTCTCAGCCAAATTTAACTTAAAACTAGACAGTAAAATAAAGCAGTTCCACCTGCTCTGTAGGTTTCATGGCCTCCTACAGAATAAGCTTGATTAGTACTTGTTGGCTTTTTTTTAATAAAAGGATAAGCCAGGCATAGTGGTACATGCCTGTAATCCTAGCAATCAAGAAGAGGAATCAGGCACATCTTGAATTCAAAACCAGCGTGGATCTAGGAAGACCCTGTTTTTTAGAAAAAATAATGATAAGGTTAGAAAAATTCTTTACTCTCGTCTCTGATTTCATCTCAAGGTGGACTAGAAGAGAGCAGGCTGACTTCTATAGAACAGTGTCTTCCTTTGGCATTGTTTATGACCAAGAAAAGAAAACCTTTGACTGGACACAGTTCCGCATCATTTCCCGCTTGGACAAGAAGTCAGATGAGAGCCTGGAGCGCTATCTTCATAGTTTTGTGGCCATGTGTCGGAATGTGTGTCGTCTGCCCACGTGGAAAGATGGTGGTGAGAAAAGCCTTGTCACTGTGGACAGTGAAGTGGAAAGAGAACATGCCACGGTTCAGATTGCAGAATTTCTTCAGCTGTAACTATGAAAATAGAGTCTATCTGAAGAACTCTGTTAAAGATACGTAGGTTGTGAGAGATCCACGAGCTTTTAGTTGGGCTCTCCAAATCCCCAAGTGATGTAACTGCAGTGAAGGTTGGAACTCAGTTAAAACCTCACAGAAATATTGAGACCAACACTGGGGCTAGAGAGATGGCTCAGTGGGTAAGAGTACTGGCCGCTCTTGCAGATGACCTGGGCTTGGTTCCCACTACTCATGTGGTAGCTGACAACCTTCCAGAACTCAGTTTATAACTCCTTAGTTTATGAGCATCCAGCACCCTCTTCTGACCTCCATGGGCTCTGCACACATGTTCTGTGCATAACATCCATAATTCCAGTTCCAAGGGTTCCAGCACCCTCTTCTGCACTCTGTGGGCATTGCCCATACAGTGCATTTACACACATGCAGACAAAACACACATATCCACACAGGCAAAATATTCACACATAAAATACTTTTAACTATGCTTTCCAAAGTATAGGGTTTGTTTTTTAAATCAAGATTTATCCTACTCTGAACTTCACACCTTCTTTCAGTGAGGTCATAAGAACTTTAAATGTTTTCTACATGTTGACTTATAGAAAATAAGTGGTTAAGAGCTGCAGAGATGGCTCAGTGGTTAAGAGCACTGACTGTTCTTCCAGAGGACCTGGGTTCAGTTCCCAGCACCCACATGGTGGCTAACAATCATTCATAATTCCAGTTCAAGGGATCTAACACCCTCTTCTGGCCTCTGCAGTCATTGCCCATATGGTGCATTTACACACATGCAGGCAAAACACTCGTACACCTAAAATAAAAACAGTAAATTTAAAAAGAAGAAAATAAAGGAGGTGGTTGACATTTAAACATTTCCTGATCCAAATAGCTTTTCTGACATTTCCTTCTGGTTGGAATTTACAAGAGTTTCCCTCAGATCCGTGTCAGCTCCTATTTTTGGCTAAACTTGTTCTGGACCATGTGACTGTATCTTAGGAGAGCTGAAACGAGCATTGAGCTATCCTGCTTGAGTTCTGAGCCAGTGGCAACATGCCTTTGCTCTTCATGTGGCATGGTTAAAGTGTTCATTGAGGTCACGGAGCTCACTTGGACCTTGGAGTCACACTGATGAGACCTGGATTTGAATTCTGCTTCTGCTACCTTAAGCAGAATAGCTTTTCTGAGCCCATCTCATCACCCTTAAACCAGGAATGATAGTGTATCGGAAGATGCTGTTATGAACTAGATGGCATATAGCTTGAGTTTATTAACTGGGAACTGTTATTTACAGGACTGGTGTTTCCCTGCTCTTGTTTTACTCCCACTTGGGTCTCTGCCCATTCCCTTTTTTTTGTTGTTAATATTTTATTTATTATTTTTATTTTTTGTGTATGCGTGTATTGCCTGCATGTAAGTAAGTACACCCATGTCGTGCAATGCCCGCGGAGGTCAGAAGAGACTGTCGGATCCCCTGGGACTGGAGTTACGGACAGTTGTTAGCTGCCATGTGGATGCTGGGATTCGAACCTGGGTCTTCTGCAAGAACAACCAGTGTTCTTAACCGCTGAGCCATCTCTCCAGCCCCCATTCCCTTTTAAGCTTCCTATTTTATCAAGAGCTCAAATTTAAAACTGCCATACCGAGAGGAACCAGGGAGTTAAACTACAAAACCAAAGATTGAGGAGGCAGGGAGTACCCAAAGCCACCTTACATTTTAGGTTCTGTGTATCTCTTTCCAGGTTCCCCCGATGCCAGCATTTATGTTGAACCAATCACTGAGGAGCGAGCAGCAAAAACTCTGTACCGCATTGAGCTGTTACGGAAGGTCCGAGAGCAGGTGCTGAGGTGTCCTCAACTGCACGAGCGCCTCCAACTCTGCAGGCCCAGCCTCTACCTCCCAGTCTGGTGGGAGTGTGGGAAACATGATCGAGACCTGCTCATCGGCACAGCCAAACATGGGCTCAACCGCACTGACTATTACATCATGAATGACCCCCAACTGTCTTTCCTAGATGCCTATAGAAACTATGCCCAGCACAAGAGAACTGACACCCAGGCACCTGGAAATCTCTGTTGCCTTTACCAAACCAGTTCTAAACTCTATGAATCTCTTACTTATATGAGTAGGACTTCAGAGTCTCTCGAAAGTGAATCTGAGAATCTGGTAAAAATAGAAAGCAGGGATGATCATCTCTGTCTGCCTAGAGCCAGCTTACCTGACATTACTTGTGAAAACTTTATTTCTAAAGTTCAGGAGGTCATTTCTATCGACCATGATGAAAACTTGCTGCCTGAGTCCTTGATGTATGGTAAGGGGCTTGGCCGAGAGCCAGACTCTTTTCAGGAGAGCCCAAGTACCAACACTCAATCCAGGAAAGATGCCATTGCCATCTCAGCCAGCAGAGATGGGAGCTGCCAGCCTGCTGGCATTGAGGCAGAAATAGCTTCAGATTCCTCTCTAATGAGTAGCTTAGAAGCAGGAGTAGCTAAGATGAACATTAAAAATGGAAAACATTTGTTGATATCAGTTTCAAAAGATGGGGAGCCCTGCTGCAGTGAGACAGGGCAGAGACCTGAAAGTGTGGGCCACCTAGAGGGCAAATGCTTAGCTTCCCCTGCCTTAGATGTAGGACATGAGAGTACGTTTGTAGATCTTTGCAGTCTTAGTGTCTCTGACTCCAAAAGAAGCCTCTCATCAGATCAGCAATTAATTGATTTATTAGAAAATAAGAGTTTAGAAAGTAAGTTGATTTTGAGCCAGAATCAGAGTGATGAGGAAGAAGAGGAAGAAAATGAGGAAGACACCTTAGCCATGGTAACAGGCACCAGAGAAAAGCCAGAGGTTTTGCATTTCACTGAGCCCACTCTAAACATCCCAAGGGGAACAAGCCTCAGCTTCCACCAGGATGAAGCCAAGAAAGGAAGCCTAGAGGCTGTAAGCCAGACTCCTGGACCACAGGGGCCCTTTCCTCCTACAGCCTGTCAGTGTCACTGCAAACACATGGAGAGGTGGGCACGTGGCCTAGGGAGTGAGGAATCTGAAGTAGAGAAACCCAAGGTTTATCAGCCAAACCTGTACAGAAGCAAAGCCGTTAATACCACAGTGGAGGGTGGACCTGCTGTTACTCCACCAGAGCTATTTAAAGTGAAGCATGAGCTTCTGAAAGAACCTTGGAAAGAAAGTGCAGAGGGACTAAAAGGTTTCTCCACATACGCTCCTGAGGGAAGTGAGCCCAAATCAGAAGACATGGATTTTGAGAATAAAGATGATTATGATAAAGATGGAACCTGCCACAGTCAAGGTATAGTATGTAGAATTGTGTCATCACATGATGGGACAGAGTACTGGGGGGAGCAGTGGTCAACTAGTTTTTAGCTCCTAAGGTGGATGGACCTACACACCTGCACTATGTAGTAAAACCAAAGGGTACAAGGCCTTGATCTGAAAACTTAGGCGAGTAGTTTAGCTGTAGTCATCCCAGAAAACTGAGGGCAATTGTGGACAGTCACCGTGTCTCTGCTATATCAGCCACATGACCTGGGCAGTAGTTTTTATGCAATAGATACAAACTGGCACCCAGGGAAATGGTTTGTTTCTGCACTAGATTTGGGTGCTTCAAGCTGGCTAAGGTAGAGCAGCCTTGGGGCATCAGAGACCTGCAACTAATACAGGTGCCATTAATTTGCAGGAACTCCAAAAATACAAGTCAAGTTGGCCTTTGTTGAGGTGAGCATAGAAAGCAGTTGTTCGTGTCATCGTCAAAACCCTGTGCTTTAACATCGGGGCATTTGTGTTAGATTTCTTTTTAGAACTGAACACAAAGTGACAGTTAAAAACAACTGAAAAAAATGATTTTTTTTTTTTTTTTTTTTTTGTAAATAGGGAATCTTAAACAGGGACTCAATTTAAAAGGAATTTCAAAATGGTAACAAAAAGCTGTAGTGACCCTGAAGTTCTTTATGCCTCGTAGGAACATGTGTGCAATGATAAGGGATCCTGCTGATCAACACCAAATAGGTTTTACTTCTTCAGGTACAAGAGGGCATATCAGAGTGAACAAAAGCAGAGTGTTTAGTCTTGCTGTTATCGGCACAACATGTCTTCTGATTCTACATTAAAGAGGAAGAGCAGGACTTGACTTTCTTGGGTCATGTAGCTTCTCTTTATTTTTATTTTATTAATTTTTTATCTGTATATGTATGTGTGTACAGGTACTCACCTATGCATTCGTGTCTAAAAGACAAGGAAGGATTGACTTTGAATATCTTCCTCTATCACTTTCCACCTTATTTTTTTGAGACAGAGTCTCACTGAACCTATAGCTTGCCTTTCAACTAGACTGGCTAGCCATTGAGCCCCTGGAATCAGTCTGTCCCAACAAATACCCCAGCACTGCAGTGATAGGCGTGTGCCACCCCCCACCCCCACCCCAGCTTGTATGTGGGTTCTGGGCCCAGACTCAGGTTTTGTGCTTGGCGGTGAGCGCTTTGCTCACTGAGCTGACTTCTCAACCACAGAGCTTTTTCATTTTAAACTCTCATCATTAGTTTTGGTCACTGTGATTAATAACTATCTTAGAGTGGTTCCTGAACCCAAGTTAAGATGTACATAGTAGCTGGGGTAAGGACTTGGAAGCTGAACTCAAAATAGTTTGATTGACTTGCAGCCCAGCCAGGTCAGAAGGATCCTGTCTATGACCATACCCCAGGCTTCCTTCTCAACCAAACCAACAAGAATCACTGTCGTGTATTGACTTACAGAACCCACCTTGTGTTTTGAACCTTGTTGTGGAGAAAATCACCAACAAATTAGTTACTAGAAACTCAGCCAAATGAGTACTGGGTAAATGTGATTTAGAGGAAAATTTGGACAGTTCTTTCCCCTTCATGTGGCAGGGTAGTAGAGCAGTGAACATGCTGAGCTTTGTGGTAACCATACTGTTTTTGTAGTGTCTTCCTACATAGGTGTGTAAGAGGTGGTGCAGGGGTTAGCCTGCTTTGGAGACTAGAAATCCTGTAGTCCTAAAAGAGCAGTAGTTTACTGGTGCCCCAGGAAGATCAGCCCTAGTCTTCTGGCTTCTCTGCTTAAAATCTCTCAGTGCTGCTTATTAGTGTCAGAATAAAATTCAATTTTCTGTCATGATGTACAGGCCCCAGGATGATCTAAGTGATTTCACCCCTGGCCTCATATGAATCTGTACTCTTGGCTGTCTCTTGGTTCCTTGGCCCATCTGCAGTACCCTTCCCTTGCCCCATTGCCTCGTCACCTTCATGGCTGTTGTGTTTACTAACGTACTTAGAGCAAGCCTTCCTTCTTCTCTTTTGTTTTAATTTATTGGGCAGGTGACATTGAGTGTCACTATGTAGCCCAGGCTGGATCAGAGTCACAGTCTTCTGCCTCAACCTCTCCAGTCCTGGGATGACTCATGTGAACTACCATGGACTGCCTGCCTATCTCCTCCTCCTTATAGCACTGACACAGCCTCCAGCTGAACTCCTTTATTGTTAGTGCTTTCCTGTCTCCAGCCTACGGAAACTCTGGAGGCTCAAGTCCTCTCTGTCTTGTTTGTTCTTGAATCTGCCAGTCCTAGCAAGACCTGCTTATAGGACAGAACTCCTTAGGAGACTTGTTGCACAGTCAGAAGTAGAAATGCATTGTCATTTTACCAAGAAAGTAAGTCTGTTTCACTGCCATCTGATCATTCCCTGTCATTAGTGATAAGTGGATCTCTAAAGATCCATTCCATACAAATAATTAACTTCAATCTTTACTTAAGCCATTGATGAAGCTCCAGCTTTATTTGTATCATTTTTTACACAAATCAGGTCTCACCTTTGCTGTAAGCTTCATGGCTTTTCATCCTTCCTCATTAGTATCATCCTCTCACCTTACCACATTTCTTACTTCAGAAAATGCCCTTTCAAGTGTCAAGATTTATAATGTTCAATATCATCTTGTCCACTATACCAGCAAGAAATGTGGCCTTTCACCTCCCTATCCTCTTGGATACACAGAAAGTTCCCATCTCCCTGTGGAGGTGAACAGTGTGCGTCATGACCGTAAAGTAGGATTTACCTCTGTGCCTTTACTAATTTTGTTCTCCCAGAAATAGAAGCTATGGTAATTAATCGTTAATCTAAATTAGCCCCTAATGGGCTAATTGGAAGCAAAAGAGACAGATTCACTGAACAGATTCCTCAGGTCACTAGCATTTTCCAAGTATCTAGTTGTTTGTTTTAACCTTTCTTTGCAGACTACCCAGGGAAATACTCTGAAGAAGAGAGCAAGAGTTCAGCATCAGGCATTGCAGGAGACCTTGGGGATGACCCACAGGAAGCACGGGCTCCCACCATTGCTCAGCTGCTTCAGGAGAAAACCCTCTATTCCTTCTCGGAGTGGCCAAAGGTATCTTGTAGAGCTTGCGTCTTCCCCCAAAGCATTCCCAGCTTTGATTCCCTTGCATCAAACCTTGTAAAGGATTTCTGCAAAACAAACTTAGCTGTGTACATTAGAACATCGAAGATGAATGCATTAAGGAACAAAAAAGACGCATGCGTCAGACTACTTAAACCATAAGAGGAAAAGGTCAAATTGTCCTCAATTGTAGCACTGCGAATTTAGTTCATTGTCTGGAGTGTGCTATTTAAGGGTTATACAGTGAGTGTGTCTGAGTACTGTTTTCTGATCAGCTCTTTCTTGTGAGAAAAAGTGACCTTTGATGTCAAGGGATTTTGTAAATTTGTGTAACTTGGAACTTTTTCATAACTTAGAACTGTTACCCTTTTGTTCCAGGATCGTGTGATAATTAACCGCCTAGATAATATCTGCCATGTGGTGTTAAAGGGGAAGTGGCCCTCCAACCAGCAGTGTGAACCCTCAGGCACACTGCCCACCCCCATCTTAACCAGCAGTGCTGGTGCTCGAAACAGCCTCTCAGAACTAGAAGTAGCAGAACGTGGCTTCAGCAGTGGCGCAGCATTGGCGGCCCAGATCCAGAAGGTGAGGCGCAGATGGTGTGAGCCGCCAAGCAGTGGGGGCCACATCCCACTTCTTAGTCGAGTTGTTTGTTCAACAAGCATTTAGGATTTTGTCTTGGTTCGGTTTTTCTATCAGGTGGTGAGTGTTAATGAGAACTTTGGACTTTTTTTTTTTTTTTAATTAAAAGAAGCATTTCATTACAACAGCATTAACCTATTCAATAACATTTTTCTGAGCTAGGGTACATCTCTTTCAAAATTGGCTGTACATTTCTAGGTTTACAGATGAATTATTACGCTTATATAATCTTTTACTCATTATAAACTCTATAAGACATAAAATTAAATAAGGTTCCAACGTTTAAAAAAGATCTCCAC